AACAAGAAGCTACTAGGAGGAAAGGGCATCGCTACTAGGAGCAAGGAGCTCCTGGCACTACTACTAGGAACAAGAAGCTACTAGGAGCAAAGGGCATCTCTACTAGGAGCAAATAGCTCCTGGCACTACTACTAGGAACCAGAAGCTGCTAGGAGCAAAGGGCATCGCTACTAGGAGCAAGGACGCTACTGGTAGCTCCTGGCACTACTACTACGAACCAGAAGCTACTAGGAGCAAAGAGCATCGCTACTAGGAGCAAGGACGCTACTGGTAGCTCCTGGCATTACGACTAGGAACAAGAAGCTACTAGGAGGAAAGGGCATCGCTACTAGGAGCAAGGACGCTACTGAGGCATTCTGGCCCAAAGCCGCTTGCCTGACGGCTTCCGGGGGCCCGTGGTCAGGCGACCCTTCGCGAGGAGGGCGTCTGACGTCCATAGAGACCAGTCACATTCTGGCAGGTCACCCGACGCTTTGATCTGTTGGAATCGTGTTCAGCCCTGGTCTCAAGCCATGTCGAAGGAGGACAAGCTCTTTGAGTGCCTGCAGGATCCTTTTTGGTCTGCGAAGACTAAAGGTGTGTTTGCTGGCTTGCATAATGGACCGGGTATTTGTTGGGACGATCTGACCATCCTTGCTGGAACCTTCACTGGAACCTTCATGGACGAGCTCTTGATCGACCTTGGACAGTACATTGAGTATGAAGGTTTTGTCTTCAGTGACGCTACCTCTTCACAAATTGCCATCCCAGGCATTTCGACTCGCGCACTATCGTTCCAGGTAGGTGACCAGATCTTGTGCTGTGGCCGCCTGCATCAGGTGACAACCTCACGGTGGAAAGGTGACACACATGTTACCCTCACAAAACGCCCGGTATTCGACTGCCAAGCTGAGTGGGATTTTGTGCATCTGTTCGCAGGCGCATTTCATGGATGGAGCCAAGCTGTTAACATGCTGCCGAAGTTTGTTGACAGTTTCCGCATTGGAGCACAACTGAGCATTGACAGTGATTCGGAAGTCGCCCAGGTGTGGATGGAGCGCCACAAGCAACCGTGCCATGTTGGCCCCCTCAGGCCGAGAACAGCCTTTGAAGCGCACTACAAAGCTTTTGTGCAAACGCACGTGTTTGATCACACGATGTTCAATCTTGTTGCACCACACGCAAACATGTGCTACACTGCATCACCACCATGTCAACCATGGTCAAAGGGAGGCAGAGCTGCTGGCCTCGCCAGTCTCAATGGCTGGGCTTTTGTTGATACCATAAGAATCACAATTGCGGGCCAACCACATATGCTCGCGCTGGAGTGCGTTGATGATGTTGCAGTGCGCCCACACTTTACCTTGCTGTGTGCCTTGTTGGCAAAAGGGGGCTATCAATGCACGTGGCAGCAGGTCGTGCCATACCATCAGCTATCGCATGTGAACCGAACTCGCTGGCTCAGCGTTTGGCTGCGTTCTGACATCTTTCAGGAGTGTGATGAGATCAGTTTGCCTGTTCGAGCTGAACGAGTGATGCCATGGTCATCGCAACACTACAGGTATGTTATTCCTCGTGCACTCCGGGAACAACTGACACTCACACAGTCGGAGTTGAAAGCCTACGGGAACTACCGGTTCCTCCCCCAGGCCAAGCAAAGATCAGTGCCTGCAGATGCTTCTGTACAGCGAGTGCTGAAAGAGCGAGTTCAGGATCCGTTTGAGACCCTGCCCACACTGTGTGCTTCGTACGGAAACCAACACAACCTTTTAGCCGACCGTGGTATTTTCGCTGTCCTTGACCATGATGGGAAAGACTTCTTCTTCATCGACCCCTTTGCGCACTGTGCCCTGTTGGGCGCCACTGAGTCTATTGTGGTGTCTTTCAAGATGGTGCTAGCGTTTCGACAGATAGGAAATGCTGTTTCGGTGCCGCAAGCCATTCTCACCCTTGGTGTTGGATTCCGAGCTCTCCTCAAGTGGGATCTCGATGTGATCACTTTAGTCCTGCGATGTTGGGCTGCCAGGCTCACTAGCTTCTCGAGTTTTGTGGTCCATGGAAGTCGCTTTGCTACCTTGTGCTCAATTGAAGCTTTTGTCCAGGAATTCTCAGTTGATGCTCCAGCCGAGCCGTTTGGGACTGACTGTGTTGAATGGCGTCTTACACATTGCTATACTGAGGCCTCGAAGACAATCTTCTTGCCTGGGGATAGATCTCCACGATCTTCACTTGGAAGTTTGATGTGCATAGCCACGTGTTCTGCCGAAGTGAGGACCACAAGAATCTCCAGACCTTCCTGCTCCGGGATTTTGCTGTCATTGTCCAGCAATGTCAGGTTTGCGTTGATGGCAAGCCTTTCATCGATGTCCATATGAGGTGCCTCACACCGCCCCCAGCGCTGGCTTTGGCTGCTGCGGACAAGCCGATTGTGATTTCACCCACCATTCCCTTGAGCAAATCGTTGTCAATGCCCGGTCTTGCTTCAAATCCGTGTCCTTTGGAATTTGATGCCATCGCCTCCACAGAGGCCTTTCGCTCTGCGCTTGCGTCTACTGAGAAGTGTCTGTTGGGCAATCGGGGTGTTCCGACGCTTTTCGCTTTCCAGTCTCCGGCCATGACTTTCACTGGCCTTGTTACCGAGGAGGTCCTTGATCGCCAAGTCCCTTCTGAACTTGAGCCTGCCTGCAAGCGCTTGCGGCTGTCTGTGTCGCGCACTGACCTGCTTGGGCCTTGTGCTTTCTTCCTTCCACTCTCGCTG